CTGCATGTTTACTACAAGAAAACGTTATAAATTATTTCAAACTTTTTTTGGGTGTTTACAAGAGAGTGAGAGTAAACAAACATGGCTCAGTATTTGACCCTCGCAAGGCTATTGCAATAACACACACCGCTCTGTTATCTGAGTGACCTGCTAGCCTGTTCACTCCCAGAAACTTTAGTACTTAAGGGACGAAATGTGACTCACTAATGTTCAGATGATATTAAACATACAGTATGTAGAACAATTTGATCCTTGTCATTGGGCTGGCATACAAGCACTACTCGCCCCAGTTCTCTTGTTCTCATATTTGCAGATGACAAAAAATTGAAAATTTAATCCATCGAGGAGACAAACTTGCAAGCCGATGTCAACCAAATCTTCTAGTGGGCTCAGTGAAATAATGTATTGTTCAATAAAAAAAAATCCAGTTGCTTTTCCTTGCCAGTATTGATATTCTTCATGGCACTTGTGCTCTGGAATAGTTTATATGAATATTGCTGGCAAAATAGCAGATCTGGAGAATGTACAGTGACCTTTAAAGTCAAGCGCCTAATTTATTAGGAACGCTTGAAGACCCTCAAATTGTATATATTGTCTGGAGCACAAACAGATATATAAATAATTTATACCTGGAAAATACAGAGGGTTTCAAATCGGCACACTGAAATCATTTAGAGAGGGAAGCATGATGGACGGTTCAAAATATCCCCCAATGAAAATCAGGGATAGAGTAAGTCCGTTAAGAAATAATTGAAAATGGTCAATGACTCCTAGGTCCCTCACTTCAAATATAAGGAATTTACCAATAGTACCCTAATTGTTTTCAAGAGGGCTCTTGATAAGTTCCTTCAAACAGCTGATAAAACCTGCAAGAGTGCGCAGATCTGGACTGCACGGCGTGACCATGACCAAGAGGTCTGTTCTCTATGAGAACTGTCTGCGGGAGCGATTATTCTTGGACCCATAGGATGAACAGGTAATGCTGATTAAATATAGGTAAATATATGTGCATACGAGTATGTATAAATTCTAGGATCATAGCCTCTCTTTCAGTGATACAACATGTGGAACTATAATTGTCTTGTGTGTATGCATGTATCACCATAAACACACACTGAGCGTGTATGCTCTCTTGTCCATAAAACTTTATTATGCACTTAAATCTTGTATTTAATTACTACATGTGTGCGTGTGTGTCGTGTTTTAGGCACACTGTTTTCTTGGAAATCTGTGTCATCTGCAACTATTTGAAATGTGACTAAAAATGAATCTACGATTTTGTGTGTGTATGCATGCATTTGAAAACTCCTTTGATATTCTTTTGAGTTTCGAGAACTTTTCTACTCTTGGAGCCCGTCCCTGGTCTAGACTGCCTGGTGCATATCTGGTCAACCAGGCTGTTGTTGCTGGTGGCTCGCTGGCTCACATATCGAACCACGGTACCTGTGGGGCTCTAACTCTACTAGTAAAACTCCAGGCCAGTACTTAAGCCACAAGGCCAGCTGGCTACAATAAAATTCATCCAACTAGGTATATTTATATACCATAGGAAGGTTAGCAGTAGTTCACGCACTGACCTGGAGTTTTACGACTCACTTGCCGTGAGTTCGACCCCCACCCTTACCGTGGTTTGTTTGCAATCGTTTTATTACGATTTCGTGAGTCATGATGGGGCCCACATATCTACTACAGCCTAGTTGATCTGGCACTTGGAGGAGATACTTGTCTAGTTTTTTCGTGAAGACTTCTACACTTGTCCCAGCAGCATTTCTGATATATTTATTTTGTTTTATATTCAACAAACCGGCCGTATCTCACCGGGATAAGAAAAACGAAAGTTTTTCTTTTTAGGTAAAATTAAAAAGAACAACGAAATTTTTTTTCTTTTCCTGTATAAATTACTAAATTTAAAAAGGGGTTACTAGACCCTTGCTTCCGGCATTTTAGTCGCTTCTTACGACACGCATGGCTTACGGAAAAAGAATTCTTGCCCACTTCCCCATGGAGCTAAAAAAAAAAAATGTGTATGTAGATAAATGATTATTTGTTTTGTGAATATTGAGATCATCTAAATCTGTTTTTGTAAACGCTTAAAATGTCATGTACTGTATGTTTTAAGATACGCTTGAGTACATTCCTAATGTTAACAACTTTCATCTATATATATGTATTGTGCAGCATTTTCATATGATCAGTTTTTGTTTTCATTGTTGGGGGGTTTTGGAAAGGGAGGTGTGATATACTCATCAATTCTACTATCTACGAGGCGTTAGTGCCCACCTCTGCTGGAACGATTTTTTTTAAGTTGCCTTAGCCACTGATAACTAGAACTAATGATACTCTTTAAGTCACTTGTTCTCTCTCTAGGCTGGAGTACTGCTATGCTCTTAACTTCCCCGTTCAGGCTAGGCGAAATTGCAATCCTGGAGATTGTGGTTTTATTGTGATATATTTTTTGATGAGTTTCAAGAGTTTTTCTACTCCCAGAGCCCGGCCTTGGGCCAGGCTGTTGCTGCTGGGAGCTTGTTGGCCCACATACCCATCATATTTTGGTTGATCTGGCATCTGATGAAGATACTTGTCCAGCTTCCTCTTAGAAACTTTTACAGTGTTTCTGATATCTTCTGATAAGATTTTGAATAGTCTGTGGCCATGGACGTTGATCCATTGTTCCCTTACTGTTCTCATGGTTTCCCTGCTTTTCACTGTTTAGTTTGTACTTCCTCCCATATCTCTTATTCCAGTGTATTATGGAAGTGTGCAGATTTGAGCAAGGCCCTCAAGTACTTTGCAGGAACATATTATTCTGTATATCTATCCGCCCCAATGAATACATCTTTGGAAAGGCGTTTCCAGTAATTTAAATGCTCTATTTCCTGTAAACTATCTGTATCTGTTCCATCGCTGATATTTTTCCTGTCCTGAATGGGGCCGTCAACACTGAGCAGTATTCCAAGTTAGAGAGCACAAGCGATTTAAAAAATGTCATCATTGGCACTATTTTCTGTACTTTGAAAGTATAGAGAACCTTTACAGCTCGCATAGAGTCGGTCACACACATAAATTGCCAGGAACGTTTGAAGTCCCTTGACCTATACTCCCAGGAACGTAGGAAAGAGTGATATCCAAATCTGCGCATACAAATCGTTCCCCACGAAAGTAAGAGGCTTGGCAGACAGTGAAAATAACCCCAATGAAAAGCAAGGGTGCAGTGAACACACTAAAGGAAAACTCAAGTAGGCGTGAAGGGACCAAGACTCTTCAGTATTCTTCCTTCATACATATACGTAAGGGATTACGAACAGATCCCTGGCTGTCGTCAAGAACTGGACAAGTTTCTCATGTCTATCCCTGATCAGCCTGGATGTGGTGCTTAAGTTGGACTTCGTACGGCTAACGCCAACAGCCTGGTTGATCAGGCTACTGGGAGGCCTTCTCTGGGACCGGGCCGCAAGGGCGTTGACCCTTCAGAACATACCCCAGGTAGACCACAGAATGGAATACCAGCGATATCTTCGCCGTATAGAATCCTCCCAACTCATGCTCCGAAGTTGCATTACTTCATGCGTGAAACCTATCATGTGGTGGAATATGACAGGGAAAAAGCTAGCTTTTGTTTCCACTATGTAACTATAGAAAGGGTAGCAACACTACGGTTGTCGTAAAAAATCAGCATTTAATTTTTTTAATTAGAGAATTGATCTGTTCTTCTGTTTAGTTGATGTTAAATTCAAGCAAGTTTTCATATGGTATTTAATATCAAGTGAGTCCAGACGCATCATGTTGAATGTCTGTGATAAATCAGGTTTTGTGTATCTGGTTAGTGCACTTTGTGTGATTGTTTAGTCTCTTCTGGATGAGTGATAGTGGTTTGTAAGTTTGTATTTAGGATATGACGAGCGACAACGATGCAAGAGACCAGTACGTTATTAAGTTGAGTGGAGGCGAGTCAAAAGATGCTCTTGCAGCATATCACCTACATGTTACCATCATCCCTACCACTGGACATACCCACTCATAACATTGACTCTCATCGATAAGGTAGCGGTCCTTCTTTGATGGCCCATTTTAGGTCCGGAGACATAGTCGGTTCCAAACACTGCTCACTTGCCGAAGTTCATACATTCGAACCTGTAACGTTACACAAATACTCATTTCAATCATTCTTCTTTGCAGTTTGCCTGTCCGAAATGCTCTGCATAACCAGAGGCTCTATAAAGTATGTCGATAGTACATTTTCTGTAGAGACTGTAAACTGTTCTTTATAGAAATAAAATTGACTTTACCTCTTACATGTGCATTTTATGAGTTTCGCTAATTGTTTCAATTTAGATACGCACCTTTTTTATTGTAACCTGAAAACATCCCAGTATTCAGCAGTTGTATCCCAGAAGCTACCCTTCGATTATCTCATTACTCATTATTCATGAGTTAAGTACAGTAATGAATATTGATAGTGTCAGTGATTGCCGAAACCTTGTTGCAGAAATGCATCTATGTTTTAAGTGTAAATGCGCTTCACTGATATGGCTCTTGAATATATGAAGCAATCTCAGTAGCTTTAGCCTGACTCTGGTGGCTCTGGTGGCCTGGTGGTTAACGCTCTCGCTTCACACGGCGAGGGCCTGGGTTCGATTCCCAGCCAGAGTAGAAACATTGGACGTGTTTCTTTCCACCTGTTGTCTATGTTCCCCATCAGTAAAATGGGTACCTGGGTGTTAGTCGACTGGTGTGGGTCGCATCCTGGGACACTGACCTAATTTGCCCGAAATGCGGAGCATAACAAGGGACTTTCTATATAGTAGTATGTCATTGTTATCAGCTAGGACTGTATACCTTGTACATGTACTTGTAGTAAAATAAAGATATTATTATTATTATTATTATATTTTTCCTCAGCATATCAAGTAGTGGGTGTAATGTGATTTTCTTGCGTATATTATGAGAGAGGGGTGCAACATGTTTCATGTATGTAACTATTTTATGTTGGTTATTTACAGGAACATAGGATGAGACAATGATGCTGACGAGCAGCACGGAGTCGCTACAAAAGAACGTCACGTGAGGGACGGTGGCGGCCGGACCAGTAGTGTCCTGTTGGTGGGTGTGTGGTGGAGTGGCAGCGGCGGCTGTGGTGGTGGTGGAGTGGTGGTGAAGGTGGTGCTGCTGCTGCTGCCAGGACCCCCTGCCTCTTACACTAGTGCCTCTCCTACAGTGTTAAGTAGTGAATGTTAGGGAAACACAATGCGGGAGTTTAAAGTGGTGGTGCTAGGGTCCGGTGGGGTGGGCAAATCTGCCCTTACGGTGCAGTTCGTGTCCGGGTGCTTCATGGAGAAGTATGACCCCACCATCGAGGACTTCTACCGAAAGGAAATCGAAGTGGACACTTCGCCGTGCGTACTGGAAATCCTGGACACGGCGGGCACGGAGCAGTTTGCCTCCATGCGTGACTTGTATATTCGCAATGGTCAGGGCTTCGTGGTGGTCTACTCAATGACCAATCATCAAACCTTCCAAGACATTAAAGGCATGAAGGATCAGATCACCCGGGTCAAGAACACTGACCGTGTCCCCATTCTTCTTGTCGCCAACAAGGTAGGTGTAACATCTCTTGTTACCTCTTTTGTATTCACCTATACGTGGTTTCAAGGGTCGAATCTCGATTCTTGACTCTCTTCACTGGCTGTTGTACGATATGTCTTCAATAGCCATATCGTACAATTTCTTAAGCTGTGTATGGATCTTGCCTCAACCACTCTGCTTTCCAGGTCTTTCCGTTTCCTGATTGCTCTAAGCCTGAAGAAATACTTTCCTAACACCCCTGATTCGTCTGCATTTTCGATTTCGAACTTTGCACTCATGTTCCTGTTTCTGTCTCTGTTCACCCTGTCAGTTCCTTTCGGTATTTTGTGCATTATTATATCACCGTAGTCTTTTCCTCTAGTGTCATCAGGTTTAATTACCCCAACTTCTCCTCATAAGACATACCCGTTAGCTCCAGGACTAGTCTCATTGAAAACCTCTGCACTTTCTCCGATTTCTTGGCATGCTTGACCAGATGTGTGTTCTATACTAGTACAGTAGACTCCAGTATGGGCTTGACGTATGCCGTATACAGTGTTGTGAATGACTCCTTTCTTAGATTTTTGAAACTTAGTTTGATTTGCCAGACGCCCCTTTACTACAGTGACTAGTTGTGTTCTTCCCCTCAGGCGATATACTTCGTAGTGTACTTACTCCGAGGTCCTCCTTGAGCGAGGTGGCAGCCTTCATAAGTTTCATTTGTCAGGCCAGACCTTGCCTCTTCAGATCCATTTGTAATCTTTCCTGGTCCTCGCCTGTTTGTATTCTATTTAGTTTTACATATGTGAACAGGGATACCTCTTACCTGAGGGATACCTCAGGGACACTTCTTTTCGTCACGTCGGTCACATATGCAAGAAATAATACCAGTTCGAATACTGATCCTTGTGGAGCCCTATTTGTCACATACACCAATTCCGACACCTCTTCTCGGACAATCATTTGTTCCCTTCCTGTTAAGCATTCCTTAATCCATTGTACTGCCTTCCTGCTCCTCGAGCTTTTGTCCCAGTTTTTTGAGCGGTCCTGTGTCAAAAGCTTTCCCACAGTCCAAGAATGTGCCGTCTGCCCATCCCTCTCTCTTTCCTGCCTTACATCTGTTACTTTGCCATAGAACTCTGGTAGTTTTGCCAGATAGGATTTACCGTCTTTTAAAGCTGTGCTGGTGGTAATTTATGAACCCACTTTTTCCTGTTAATTTTCTCCTGACCTTGCATGTTATTTACGTCAGTGATACTGGTCTGTATTTTAACTTTACATTTGTCCCCTTTCTTAAGTATTGGGACAACATTTGATATCCACACCTCTGGTAGTTGCCCTGTGTCCATTGACTTGTCGAAAGAGTGGCTTATACAGTACCTCTGCTGCCTCTTTCAGAACTCAGGGAGAGAGATTATCTGGCCCTACCACTTTCGAGGTATCCGACTCATAAAGTAGCTTCTTCACTTCTCCTCTATATGTAGTTTGTGTTAAGGAACTTGTCGATAGACACTTGTTGGCCTGTTACTATTTGTGTGTGTGTGTGTACTCGCCTAGTTGTGGTTGCAGGGGTCGATTTACAGCTTCTGGCCCCGCCTCTTCACTGGCCGCTACTCGGTCACTCTTCCCGCTCCATGAGCTTTATCGTACCTCTTCTTAAAGTTATGTATGGATCCTGCCTCCACTACATCACTACCCAGACTATTCCACTTCCTGACAACTCTGTGACTGAAGAAATACTTCCTAACATCCCTGTAGTTCATCTGAGTCTTCAACTTCCAACTGTGACCCCTTGTTGCTGTGTCCCATCTCTGGAACATCTTGTCTCTGTCCACCTTGTCGATTCCTCTCAGTATTTTATATATCATTATCATATCCCCCCTATCTATCCTGTCTTCCAATGTCGTCAGGTCAATTTCCCTTAACCTCTCCTCGTAGGACATACCCCTTAGCTCCGGGACTAGTCTTGTTGCAAACCTTTGCACTTTCTCTAGTTTCCTTACGTGCTTGGCTAGGTGAGGGTTCCAAACTGGCGCTACATACTCCAGTATGGGCCTGATGTACACATTGTACAGGAATGCCAGGCGCCCGTATGCTGCTGCAGTTATTTGGTTGATGTGCGCCTCCGGAGATGTGCCTGGTGTTATACTCACCGTAAGATTCTTTTCCTTGGGTGAGGTTTGTAGGCTCTGGCTGTGGTCTTATTTGCCCTTCCCTAATCTTCATGACTTTGCACTTTGTGGGGTTGAACTCCAGGAGCCAGTTGCTGGATCAGGCCTGCAGCCTGCCAGATCCCTCTGTAGTTCTGCCTGGTCCTCCTCCGATTGAATTCTTCTCATCAACTTCACATCATCTGCAAACAGGGACACTTCGGAGTCTATTCCTTCCGTCATGTCGTTCACAAATACTAGAAACAGCACCGGTCCTAGGACTGACCCCTGTGGCACCCCGCTCGTTACAGGTGCCCACTCTGACACCTCGCCACATACCATGACTTGCTGTTGCCTTCCTGGCAGATATTCCCAGATCCACTGTAGTGCCTTCCCTGTTATCCCTGCCTGGTCCTCCAGCTTTTTGCACTAATCTCTTGTGTGGAACTGTCAAACGCCTTCTTACAGTCCAAGAAAATGCAGTCTACCCACCCCTCTCTCTCTCTCTCTCTCTCTCTCTCTCTCTCTCTCTCTTGTCTTACTGCCGTCACCCTGTCATGTGTGTGTGAGAGAGACAGAGAGAAAGAAAGACAGAGAGGCATGCTAGGGTCTAGAGTCAGCACCTGGCCTCGGTATGACTGATTTCTAGCTTCATGGGCCTTGCCATGTTTACTCTAAGCTGTATTTTTAATTTACCTCCATAACCTCGCCCAAGTTATTCTACTTGTTAACCTCTCTGAGACTACTTTACATCCCTACTGTTCATCTGCATATTGTTTCACCTGTATCTCTTTGATCCTGTACCTCACAATCCAGTTTTTTCTTGTCGGCCCTATCATTTTTCTTTAAGATTGAAGTCGTAATCGGGGATGGGACGTATACCAAAATTTGTGCCTATATCAGTACTCAATTTTAGACCGATGCAATGAAATTCAGTAGATATCTACCTATACCGGTACTGAAACCATCAAAATCATCCGATATTTACCGGTATGGATAATATGGCAGACCCTCCAAGGTTGCCAGGCTCATTTTCTTCAGCCTCTTCTCATGATGCATTTTCCTCATTTTTGGTACTAGAGTGAATGCGAACTTTTGGTACTTTTTGAGCTTTTTTTATGTGCTTAACCGGGTGTAGGCTCTGTGTTGGGGCCACGTGATAAATGGGTTGGCCTAGCATATATCGCAAAGGAGATTCTGAGGGATTGTTTATTCATGTTCCTGAATGGTATTCTGAAATTTGCTTTTGCTACCTCCCTCTCTTCACATCTCAAACTGCCATACTCCTTCCACTATCTGTTGCTTCGAGTATTTCATTTATGATAATGACCCCTGAACCCTGGTTCTCATCTCCAGGTTCTAGGTTAAGTTCAAGTCTCTCCTCGTAGTCCATCTTCATTTTTGCCATTAACCACTTCATGGCACAGCGGATCATCTCAAGTTTCTCTTCCTGCTTGATCAGGTGTGGGCTTTGTACAGGTGCCTCATACTCAAAAGGTGGATTTAACCTAAGTTGTGCATAATAGCCTAAACGATTCTGCTACGGTCCTTAAAACAGTTTTTAGGTTACCTGGTTAAAGTTTTGTATATGATGTTGAATTTATGCAGTTTGTATCTGCTTTTGGTGATTTGCTTATTGGAAGAGTTGAGACAGATCTGTGGAGGACAAAAATTATTATATTCCCATTGAGCACGATACCTTATTGGATCACACAGCACTTATTAATTGACATTTAATGAGTTGATCCCATATTGATACACTATTATCAGAATATATATATGCACTGTCTTAGGCATAGGAGAGCTGAGATAAATTAGAGAAAGGGGTTAGGTTGAGATTTTTTTTTAATTTTCCTAATTAGATACACCGCATTGTGTGAATACTTTCAGCTCAACACTTCAATCCTTCTACCAAAACTGGAGTTTCTTACACGTATTTGGCAAAGAGTGTTCTTAAAGAACTGGAGTTTTCCATTTCCCCCTGGACAAACAATGGCAAACACTGTTTTTGCTGCAAAGTGAGGTAGATAGGGGCAGCAGGGGGTGGGACTGAACATCAACATACTTTTCACTGTGTCTGGGAATCGAACCTGGGACACAAGCATAGATAAAGGGAGAGAGAGAGAGAGAGAGAGAGAGGTTAAGTAAGGTGGGGTGAGCTTTACGTAGAGAACTGGGTGAGGTTTATATTGGGGGTAGTGGCTGTTACCAAGTATTTATTCAACCTGGCTACGTGAGTGGACTGGGTGCGGCTGAAGAATCACACGGAACACGATACTCAGTTCCTGAGTGCGTAACACTTGCTCTGCGGATCCTCAGTACTACGGTCTCAATCAGTGAAATGTTATCAGTTGATGATTAAGACAAATGTGCAACACCTCGGTACCGTTATTAAGAGATGTTTCACCTTCCCAGTAGGCATGAGGGTGTAGACTTCAAAAACATAGTTTGGTGTTACATATGTGGTCATCATGTCGGTATCATGCCACTGATCTAATGAAATCTATCAGACACAGTAACGCCATGGCATCTTGGCAGATATCTTCTACAAGTTCATTGCTTATTCTTTAGCCCACTTTGTGGTCGTGACCTACTGGTGGGGCCCCCGCCCATGTGTAACTGCACAATCAGCTGCTCACCGCGTTTTCTGCAAATCCATGGCTAAATCTCTGGCCCAACTTATCGGCCTGACTGACTGCCTTTAATGATCCCCATCCACATGTGACTGTCTTCAACTGCTTTTTCTCGCGACTTCTGGTGGATCCAGTACAAAAGTCTACATCCTCATTAATAAAGTCTGCTGTGCTGGTAAAATATCTTTCGTTAACGACTTCTGTCGCAGTTGTCAGCTTGTCAGTATTCATATCTCACCATCGGCCTTCC